CACCCTTCATGTATTCAGGGTTCTCTGCTTATACTTCATCCACAGGCTGCTCGTGTAGAAGTATTTGCACGCGTGCTTAAATAAAAATAAATAATTTTGCAAATTAAATTTCTGTGAAAAATATTTTCCGTCGTTACTTTAAACTCCAAACATGTGACACACGTGACCACTTACGACCGCATTTAACAACTTCTTTTACGTCCAGGGTCATATAAATAGCCCATCATCGGCACACGTGATTGTACTTTTACTATCATTGAAGTTATTTGATAAGAAAAATTACATTCTACATCTTTGATAGAGATTTCAAGTAGCTAATCGACCGACATTCAATTCGAGTACTTGTGGGACGCCGATCCTTGAATAAAAAGTGTGACTGCACTTGCAGAGCAGTGGAGGAAATAGATTTTTTTTTTATAAACATATTTATTTTCATACTTTCTTCAGTGATAAAGTGTTGACAGTGCAAGCTTATTTTGTTACAAATAAATATGTAAGTAACTCTAGATTTTTGTCATGTTCTAACATAATTATTCTTTACAATAAAAAAATCATAAAAGTCTGAGTCAATTGGTTACAGTTTTTTTTTTTTTTTATAACATCAAGTGATGGGACGGACAAGTCTTGCGCCTGATGGTAAGCTACACGCCTGTCCATAACAGTTGCAGTGCCACTCAGAGCTTTAAATTGCAAAGATCTGAGGGGCACTACTACTGCGCCCGTCATCCTGAGACATAAGTTGACAAGTCCCATGTGCCTGTAATTTCACCAGCACCCTTAGCCTTCAAAATCGGAACACAGTAATGCTGACATTACTGCTTGGCGGCCGAAATGAGTAAGGTGGCAGAACTACCCTGGACGAACTGTTTCACAAGGAGCTCTACTGCTACTAAATATTTTGAACCGACTTCAAAAAAAGGAGGAGATCTCAATTCGACTGTATTTTTTGTTTGTGTATGTTCCGCGATTACTTCAACATTTCTGAACCGATTTCGATGATACTTCTTTTGTTGAAAGGGGGTACTTCAATAGTGGTCGCATTCAAATTTGAAGAAAATATTACACCATTAAGGGTCGCAAATCAGGGGATGAATTCAGTTTATTGGATTTCACCCACTTTCCGTTATTCTTTTTAAATGAAACTTTGTAAATAGATTTTAATTTTATGACACGACACGTGTTAAGACGAGTTTCTCTTTCTTTTTATTTAATATTGTCTAATACGCACTTATCTGTTCGGATTGGCAATAGGAGACAATCCATTTATTTCGACTAAATTATATGTCTAATCCAGAAAATCTGTAATTGCCCTTAACATTGTCTAGCATTAAGCACATTTAACTTGTATTAGGGTGTTCTTTTTAACAAAAAACTTATAATTATTTGCTTCTATAGATAAACTATGGTGTTCCACATTATTCCCAGTTTAAATTTATTCTAAATGTAGGGCACAGAAAGGAAATTTAAATTTTACTATATTTTTTGCTCATTCTTATATGAGCATGGGTTATCGCCTTGATATACTTCAGGCAGATTAAAGCAATATTTCGTCACGTATCTATCGTGAGAAAACTCGCTCTTTGAAATTATTATCGTACCCACTGTACTTAGTGTCTTTATGATGTTTATTGAAATAGATAAATAACATTTCCGATAATGCTCTTATATCGTAGCAAATGACCTTACCTTATCGTTATATTCTTAATCTTTATACATCAAAGGATTTGCGTTTTTGATATAGGTTATGGATACTTGACTTTATTGTGACAACCAGCTGGTGTTCAGGAATGATATTTATAGACGTTCTGTAAAAGATTGTGACGTCATGTGGCGCGACCAATTTCCATATTGCGCCAAATTCCTTTGTGTGAACTACTGTCGTACGTGTGACCAAGTTACGACGAGGATTACACAAGTCTATCGTTTTTTATGCCGCTTCTGCTTTCCGCTTAGGGCGTACTCTGTGATCCGTCACGAACTCCTAATAAACGGGCTGTTTACAGTACAGGCACGCTATGATGGCCGTTTTGACGTTTGTCCGCTCATCAAACTACGTTGAAGGAAAAATGAATAAAAAAAAAGAAGTAAAATTTATGGATGTGTAATTTTGCGACACAACTGGGCGTTTGTTTTTCGAAATTCAAAATTTAAAAAAATGAAATCTAATAAATACCATCATCACTTATAGGATCGCTGCTCAGCACAACTTCTACCTCCGGCAAACTCGCGTCAATGCTCAATGCAAAACAAATTCGAATTGACGATATTAAATAAACATTTTTATTTTTGTTTTATTAAAACTTTTTAATTAGCTACCTTTTGCAGTACTAGTTATAAATCTAAAAACTTATATGCGACTCGCATTTGTTTATATTTTTTTCGATAATGAATTGAGATTTGATAGCGGGCCGGTACTGTAAATGTTGTAGGATGATAAAAAAAAGGCAACATTTCAGATGATGATCTCTATCTGTACTGGCAATGTTGGACAAACCTTGGTATCTAATAAATCAGCATCTATAGATACACCTCATGACATTGAATTATCGAGAGTACTTATTCCTACAGTTTGAAAAAACAATGAAGTCTAGACTGATTGTATTAGTAATTATACACAGCAAAGGCTTCGTAATGCCTTTTAAACCGTAGTCACTTTGAACGTCTACGTAAATAAATGACAAATTTGAATCGTTTAGTATTCACAAACGCTATGAACACGGGAGTAGCGTCTGGGACAAGGTCATAGACGGATTGAATTGCGAAATAAGTAGGAAAAACGTGGTGTTATTTTTAAATATACCCGTGCAATAGATTGTCGACAGTGGCAATCGCAGCATGTTCAACAAGAACGTTTATTCATCACGTCGAGCTTGTCATTTAGGCAACTGCGACTTGTCTCCAGTAAGGCATTTGTGAGATGTGCGTACGTGACCACATTGAAGATTACGTGACCCACGATTAATACACCAGTTTATAATGAAAAAATCGTTGACGTACCGACCGCTACGGTACGTTGATAAAACGGATGAATTTCATACAGTATTGACGATGATCTATATTTAGTTGCCATGTCATAGTTTGAAAGACACTAACTTCATTACCATGTAATGTTCATCTGTCGTGTTTCATAATACGCTCTCGTTCTTATATTTAAATGACATAATCATACAAGCTTATTACTGATTCAATGAGGTCTCACTTAATTACTTTTCTTCCCAGTTAACTCAAAAAAAAAAAAAATGCAATTTGATGCCATGTTATACGACCTACGACAGACTGTGTATTAGTAACAGTCCTTGTGAAAGGGTTAATCCAGGGAAGTACTGCCACCTTACCTATTTCTGCAGCCAAGCAGTAACATCAGCGTTACTGTGATCCGGTTTTGAAGGGTAAGGGTGCTGGTGAAATTACAGGCACATGAGATTTGTCAACTTATGTCTCAGAGTTACGGGCGCAGTGGCAGTGCCCCTCAGATCTTTGCGATTTAAAGCTCTCAGTGGCACTGCAACTATTATGGAGAGGCGTGTAGTAAAGGCGTAAACGATTTGGCAAGAATTAGGAGATAGCAGAAGTTTCTGGAAAAAAATTCAATCGAATGCGTTTAGATAACACTAGCAAGCGATGAAATTTTAATTGACTACGACCACAGATATGTCTAGATATATGTCTGTGACTACGACTGACGTCTAGAATACGCTTCCCCATAATTTTCATAACTGTAATTCTAAATGCAGCTAACTGCCACTAGCTAGCCACCTAGTTTGAAGATTAATTTACATTTCAGGTCTATGTTGCAGACAAGTAGAGTGACTAAACAAATACATTACTGGCTAACATTTATTCTTGTCTTCGCATAGTACATGGAAGTGTTATAAGAGTCAATGATCTCGGCGTGAACTCCTTGCGCTCAAATGACGCGAACTGTTCATGCAAGCCGTGTTTTTCTTTACCAAATCACCTCAAATTGTCTCTAAACCACCTTAAAATTTCTCATAGTTCATGTAACGTAATAATGGATCCTACATGAGACAAAATACTGGCAAAACAACTCCGTAAAGTTGCGACTTTTACATCGCAATCTGGGACTGGAAGCACGTGGTGTCGGCGTGTATCAGCGGGCACGTGCTACATGCGTGATTAGTCGTCTCTCTCCCGCAAATCGAGCTTAGGGATTGTACACACAATGCGTCATTTATTGACAGCACTGAATACTAAGAAATGTCGCCTTGTTGTAAACTGATATAGGAGGCGAATCACCCAGTTTGCGGAAATTTGCAGCTAGTATACTAATAAGTTTGCTCAAGACTAATTGGCGGTTGGATGCTGGAAAAAGAAAGTGTAATGGGGGCAGGTCGCGGGTGTTTATTACCTTGCAATTACGCTCTCACCGTGTGCGACAAACGGCAAACGGGCACATGAGTGCATTCGTACCAGTTCAACGTTTGTAGCGCTACGTTTTGCTGAGTGTAACTTTCATATTATGAAAATACATTGTGTGGATGGAATATGATGCATGATTTTACGATTTCAATAAATAGTTATATTATGTACACTATCCTTTATGTTGTCATTGTTGTCGACGTGCGTTGTTCGCCGGCCGGCAATTCAAGCAAAACAAATCGTATTGCTGTATTGGTAACAACTACGTTCACATGCTAGCGGTGCTAACTTAGTAGTAGGTAGTCATTCTAAATTGCTATTAGATAGCATGGCATCGATTTGCTATTTGTGAATTTTGATTATTTTATTTATGTTATCATTAGTTTGTGTCCTGTAGTCCGAAAGGCTCCTGATTAACTTCATCAAATTCACATTCTATACGTAATTGAAGTTTCATTTTTGTTTCTTTTACAAGGTAATGAACATTTCTTAACATACCGAGATATGACGCGTGTAATATAAATAATAAATGATAAAAATTTACAAGCTTAATAATGAGTATGAGATTCATCTGTGACTTGCTGTGTGGGCAGCAAATTGTAAATATTAGTGGCTCCTCATAGAACAGCTGAAAATATCTCTGTTCAAAGGTTTATACACAAAGCGCAATATCAGCTGTACAAACAAATAGTAATACGTACGATGTTATAATTTACAAATTTTTTGCTTGATATTTCCAGACGCGTAGGTGACAAAGACTGAAAATGACGGCGGAGAAGACTAAAGGGCAGAACCACAAGATGCCACCGGCCACGAAGAAGGTCGCACCTGATGGCGGCTGGGCGTGGATGGTCTGCCTTGGAGTCAGCTTAGTCAACGTAAGGAAAACTCACCATAATTCAATTTCAACTAAAATCGCTGTCTTATATAAAGTCCGACCTTTCATTAGTGTCACCACTCGGTCTCTATTGTGTTGTCCTATCTAATTAGTTAGCCTGTATAGTCCCACTGCCGGGCGCATAATAAGAGGGTTTGGACTGCAGTTCCCTTATTCAATCATTCACAGAAAAGCTCATGGTAAATTTCAAGTTAAATATCGCACACGAATTCCGTAAAATTCAGAGGTGCATGATTTTTCCCGGTTTCGAACCCACACCCTCTGCTTGAGAGGTAGGTCAAACCATTGGGGTACCATGTCTCTATGGTTCATTTATCCCGCCTAAGTTATGGCAATATAGTTTGTCTGTTTAAAAAACTATGAAGGCGATTCAGAGGGTACAGAATGCGTGTGTACGTTTTTGTCAAGCAATGCCAAAGAGAGATCACATCACACCTCATCTCTTCCAGACACGGATCCTTTGTTTATTTTTTGCATGTTCCTGGGGCTATGGCGGAATATCATCGAGGACAGTGTACTTTAGCTGCACCCTAGACCCATTTGACTTGCGTTTCTGTTATTAATTTGCATCTTGTATTGCATGTCAAATAAACTATTTTTATTTTATTTTATATCGAGTTGGTTTCATCATGAGAACAACCGCTTGCGAAAAAATTGCCTATTACACGCTAGCTGAGCAAAATGCACTAAAATGACGCCCAGCACATGACCGATCAAAATCAATTTACGCGTTTATGTATAGGTATGTACGCATAGTACACGCGAGAACAAGATGAGAAACGGTGAAACAGTTTGTTGATACACGTCCTATCGACCGGCGCTCGCAAATTACTTTACAGTATGTTAGTTGCTCAACGAACCATAGAAATCTCATTTTGGTGTTCAGACCCGACTGGCGCTTGAACAACGAAAAGAGATATAGATTCTTTCTAACTACAGAGGCAGGTCGAGGTAGCCTAATAAATAAATATTTTTTTTATGGTTTGGCCTACATTCTCTTAAACAAAGGCTGTGGATTCGGATCCGGGCTGGCATCTCTGGCTTTCTCGGAATTTATGTGCAAAATTTAATTAGTTTACCATGAGCTTTTCGGTGAGGAAATATATTATCGTGAATAAACTTGCACATCGCACTTTAACTGCCTCCGTGGCCGAACGGTTACCACGCCGGACTGCCACGCAGAGGTCCCAGGTTCGATTCCCGGGCCGGGAGAAATGTTTGTATGGCTTACATTTATTTCTCTCGTGAGTTTGGGTGTAATTTGTGGTTGTCTATGTGTGTGTCCATGGCACCCGCGACACAGGGTTTCCCTAGTGCGGGGCTATGTTGAGTGTGTGCGTTATTATCGCAGATTCCCAAACCGGGTGGGGCCATCGTGTCGGACTATGGCTGAAAACCTCGCCTGAGCTTACCCATGTCCAGTAGTGAGACTTATGGGTTGATGAGACTAGTCTTAAAAAAAATTCAAAATATTTATTCTTTAACAAAAGACATAAAGTAGATTAGTGGCAAGGATTCTCCTTTAAGTATATAAAATACCTGGGTCAGGAGAAAGCCTGTGTCGATTTTTCAAGAGAGTGTTTGAAAAATCCATATTTTTGGGCTCTCGGGCATGGCAATACAATTTCTTAACTAGTCACATGTTCACGAAGAATGACACAATTAAGAATGGTTAGCAGCGTCTATTTAACCACCACTTGATAAACCATTACAATTATCATTTGAGAGCTGAGCAAATAATTAACGTGTGGATAATCCGTTTGTATGCAGTATTGTATTTATTAATATGTTTCTAAGTGTTATCTGTTTACTATTGACCTTGGATTGTTTTTCTATTTATTTAAGTACACGTAGGTTAAAACAGGGTTATTTTTAAAACGATAACAACCTCGCAAGGTTATGTCACTAACATCATAAACAACACTTGCCCCATCCCGTCTCCAGCACACCAGAGGGCTGGCTCTGCAGCTGAGCTGGCGGAAAGAATAAAAAGTAATAAGTACCGGGGTCTCGGCTCCGACTACCTATTTACAGCCTTTACAGTCGAAACCCTTGGCCCGTGAGGTCCCGGTGTCCTTCATATGTTTAAAGTTTTATCCAAAGAATTAATAGACTGTCTGGGAAACCCAAGGGCTACCTTGCCCAGCGCATTAGCATAGCCAAGGGGGAACGCTGCCAGCATCTTGGGCACCTTGCAGCGGGGACCCAATTTTATTCATATAATTTAATCCTAGTTTACTTTCTAGTATTTAAGCTCGTATTGTACCTTACCTGTACTTTATGAAAAAAAAACAATAATGGAAATTTTCAAATTTTCTATTTTTGTTTCATCATCAGATTTTACTTTCATACAAAAATAAATGGTTATATAACTTCATGCAAATATAGATAGTTGGCTTTGAACGGTAATAACTCTGTGCAGGACTGGGTTGGGAATCGTCGCGCAAGACATTTGCACATTGAACTTATTCTGCCAAATACAGAAGTGTCAGATGGTACAACAAAAACTTAAAAAGTTTGCTTTAGGTAAATTTATTTTATAAATAGTCATGGAACAAAAGTTCTTAATGATGTTAGTAACATAGGCCTGCGAGGTTGTTATTATTTTAAAAATAACCTTGTGTAAGTACCCAACCCAATCTGGGCATTTAGTAATATTGTAGTTTTACCCGAAACATTTATTGCCTCCAAGAAATACATAGGTGGTTTTATGTATGTTTACAACTTTACGGATACCGACAGTTCGATACAGTAATGTTGCTTTCGACTGACCTTGAAATATCGCTAAACAATTATTGATAATCCGAGCTATTGGTATTCTGTGAACAATAGGCAAAAACATGTTCATGTACTTTTATTGCAAATTGGTTAGAAGAAAATCGTACACAATAGACGTACTTAAGCGTTGTTTTCCGGCGATAGAATTACGCGGCACTCGCGCATTGTAATCGCCTCGCATTTCACTGCCCTGCATAGCTAACTACACTTCTCAACCACATTGCATTTAAATGCAGAGTTGCATGTACCGACCTACATACGGCAATCATGAAATTAATCAATTGAGTTTTTGTTAAGAAACAATGTAGGTACTTAGCACGTAGACACACTATGTCCGGTCTGAGTAGGTTGCATCAGTAAATACATATTTACTGCGAACTACTTTAGTTAAAAGCCGTGATGGGACGGTGGTTGGAAATATCGCCTCTCAAGCAGAGGCTGTGGGTTGGAAATCGGACTCGCACCTCTGAGTTTCTCGGGATTTTATTTGAAATTTACCATGAGTTTTTCGGTGAAAGAAAAAATTAGTGATGAAACCTCCAAGTCGAAGAAAGTTCACAAACCGCGGAAAACTGAGAGGGGACCCGTGTCCAGCATGTGACCTATAAATGGGTTTAGGATGGTGATGAAAATCGACTGACTTTTCAATTACGAGGATTGGTGCGACTACGTTTGATATCGTGTGGTTTTTGGGAGACGTAGATAGCTATACAAAGTGTTCTGAACTATTAATTACCCTCTGTTTTCAATGATATAAAATATTATTTATTAATCGAACCAATTCAGTGAGTAGCCTTAGTTACAATAACCATCTACCGCTTCCCTTCGTCGCAGTTAGAGTTAGTGTTGGGTAGGACATGAACTTAAAATTGAATTTGAGTGAGTATAGTTGAAGAAATATTATTTGCACCGATGAATCTCTTGGAACGGCTAATCCTTTCTATTACAATAGGGTAATAAAACCATTAACACTTCTTTTAATTAAAGCGTGCACGGCTTTTACGATCTTTGTTCTGAATTCTAGTTTTCAATTAATTCTTTACTCTTTATTTTCGAACAGTAGGTGCTTCGTAAAATACCGACTGCCTTTCTTACTAATTCAACAAGATTTCATTCATCAAGAGCCATTCGTGACGCCTGACGAATATGCATTAGCAACGGATCCTACAG